TGATATAAATTTGACTAAAGATGTATACTTGAACTAAATATGTTTCCCCAAATAATATATGTGTCTTTAGTTGGTTAATTAGAAGCTGTCAGGACATAGTATCTTCTGGTTTGCCACTACTGTACTCAGAGATGGACTAGAGTGTTGTAGACATATATTTATTGTGATATATTTATTATATCTTAGAATCATTTCAACATAAAGTATCTCCTTCCTGTAAATAAAAAGAGTACTGTACCTTATTATTGAAGGGGATTAACTGTTCATATGTATATTTTAAATGTCTCTGAATGAGTATGCTATATTAAATACTGTACTTTGATTCAAAAAACTGATCATTTGCTATATGTTGTCTGCAAAATGAGGAAATAATTGAGGGTTTTGTAGGTGAGAGCACTGAAGACTGCAACTGTGTCAAAAGCTGATAGCAACATCAGTTTTTGTTTGCAAGACGGAGTGAGATGAGGTGCAGAATAGGTCCCACATTCAACAGAATCATATGAAAGGTTCAGAGTTGGTAGGGATTAATACCTGCAGAGTTGGATTTCAGAGCTGAGAAAGAAAAAAAAGCAAGTATACTGCTTATATACTGCCCCATAGCACTCAAAACACTCTGGGCAGTTTACAGCTTAATTATAAAGGCCACACATGCCCCCACTCCCAAGCAAGCTGGGAACTCAGTTTACTGACCTTGGAAAGATGGTAGGTTGAGTCAATCTCGAGCCAGCTACCTGAGTCCAGGATCGAACTTAGGTTGTGAGAAGAGTCTTCACTGCAGCACTGCAGTTTTAACCACTGCAGCACTAGGCTCCTTAAAATGTTTTTAGTTAAAATAATTAAAACAAAAAGAAAAGACCTTGGGTTCTGTATAAAGTTGAATTAGATAAGTTAGTCTTCAAAAATAGTTTGGTTTTTTTCAGCTCTTTGCTGTCTTTTAGAAGGATTTTTACTTAGTCAATTTGAATCTGAGGAGATTGTACAGATGATCAGATTTAGCCCTAAGAATGATCCACTGCAGGCCTGCTTTTGAAATGGCTTTTTGGGAGGTTACAAATTGAAAAGTACTAGATATCTGGAGTAACAAAGGTGGACTGATATACTGTTAGTCTTGTAGCAGTCAATGCCATACATTAGCGGTCCCCATCCTTGGGCCTCCAGATGTTCTTGGAATTCAACTCCCAGAAATCCTGGCCAGCAGAGGTGGTAGTGAAAGTTTCTGGGAGTAGTAGTCCAAGAACATCTGGAGACCCAAGGCTGGGGACCACTGCCGTACATCATTTAGAAATGTTGGAGCCTTTTGGCGTGGATAGACTTCTGATAGCCATCTAGGAGGAAATAGGTTCCCATGCCTTATGGAGAATATTCTGGTCTTGGAAAAAGGATTTGCTTGATAGACAGAGTGGACTAGAGAAGAAGGCTTGCACTACTCCACAAAGAGTATGCATGAAAAAGGAGTGACAGATAAAGAAGTGTTTTAATTGGAATAGAGAATAGATGAGATGACGAGCTGGAAATAAATTGTAGCCCCAAACTACCATATAAAGATTGTCTTGCATATTTCCAATTTTGGCATAGTCGTCTGGTGACTGGAACAGACCCCTCCCCAACAGTGTGCAGGGTGAGGTATCTGCTCTGATCATTGAATGAGCCACCCCTGAGCATTGCTTAAACTGTCGTGCGAGGCACCCATCCTGCGTCCACACTGTTTGCCTTGGTTTTGCTGCTTTCTCTTCTTTCTTTTGACACCACCCCCTCCCATCTCTTAAGAAGTGTCTAAAACTGTGTTTAGAGTTCCTGCGTTCTCTCTTCTTCCTCCTTGTTCTTATTCTTTGAGCTATTGAGGTTGAATTTGTTCAGTTGTTTAAAAAAGAAAAATTATAACAAAAGTATAATCAAAGTCCCCAAATGTCACATTTCTGAACTGGGCAAGGGGGGCAAAGCTGTATTGGCTGTGCAGTACCAAGGGGATAGTATCAAATTACTGGTCCCCCCCCCCCAAGTATGGTATTTTGAAAGAGGAAAAGCTATGTAGTGAGGTGCAGAGTAACGGGCATTCGACCTCTAGGTATACCCTTAAAGGGCCTGTGGGCGCTATGTGCTGCTGTAAAGGTCTACGCTTGGGAAAGATTGCGTGCAAGCCATCCAACTGTAGCAGCTTATATCCAGTGGGAAAAGGAGCAGAAATATCTTCCAGGAGCTGAAACAAGAAAAGAAAAGAAAACAGAAACAAAATATAAAAACAAACAGCCTTAGAACACATCCAAGGAAAGCAGCAGGGAATAGTTTTGGTCTGCATTAAGCATCCGTGGTTATGTGCGATGGTATCTTTAAATTTTTTAAGATGGAGAGGCTTAGACTTTTATTTTGAATATTGGCTGTGGTGGGGGGAGAAGTAAAATTATTTCTACATTTTCTTCATGTTTCCTGTGCTACTTGAAATACCAGTCGAGGGTGGGAACCTGAGACACATACATCAGCAGCTGTTCAAGACCTTCAGATCCTGGACTTTTTTTGGGTGGGGAGGGGAGGAGCAGCAGGAGCCCTGAAAGAATGGCCCTCTTATAAAAGGAAAGGTGAAATAATGGAAATGCATTTAGTAAATCTCAGACCACAAAGAATGATCATTGTTTTTATGTCAGTCAGTCCTTCTTTCTACGTCTGCCTGGTAAATAGCTAGTCAAAGGCAGTTGCACATCTCCTGTTCAAAGCTCCATGGGCAAGGAAAAGCAGTCATAGCACTGTATTTTGTTTCCTGTGGCACTTTGCTGATGCAATTATTGTAACACTGTGGTCTGCTGGAAGAGTGCGCTCATAATGCGTATCCCCTCACAGTTCATTCTGGCATCTAGCCTTGTACAAACCTGCTTTTGTATTTCAGATTCTAGCTCTGCCCTATCAGCTCCAGAACTGTTTTTTGCCATTACATTCAGTGTCAGATTCCATCCTTAAAAACCTCATTTTTAATTACAACAGAAATTGGCATCTCATGTTAGATATAACATGCAGTCATGTCATAATCACATTGCAGTAGACAGTGATGCCCTATTTCATACTTTGCACATTGTGATTTTAATTCTTTTCTGGCATTCAAATTTTTTTCCCAGCATGTGTCAATTCAGTACTTGAGAGATGTTTTATTTACATATTATTTTTTGAATACAAGAAGCCTGATTTTTCTTGATGGTTTGTCTAAACCATTCCTTTCCAGATTAGCTTTAACTCTGAGAGGCCTTTTTAGGCTGGGATTATATCGGTCATATACAGATGGTTGGTGCTGCCATTCATGTTCTTCATTTTGTTCATCGGTAGTAGTGTCTTCAGTGCATGCACATTGTGGAGAATGAGCCGGAAACATGTGGAGAATGAGCTGGAAACATGTAGGCTGAGTGGCAATCTGGCAGAGTGGGTTGGATAGAAAAGAGAGAAGAGTCTGGGACAGATAACTACAATTGCAGTCTCTAAATCACTGGAATTACTAGATTTTCTGGCTAGAATAATGAGAAACCCCAGCCGTGATGTGAGTGCTATCCAGAATGTTTGCTGGTATACCCTTGCTTTTTATTTAACAGCTTTGTACACTGGGCCTCAGAGTGAAGGTGGTGTTGAAGAGATGATTCATAAAGAAATATAAAATAAGCACTCCAGTACAGTGATGTGCAAGAATTCTGTGATAGCAATTAGCAGTGGGAGATGCTTCTTAGTACCGTTCTGAGTACAGATATGATAAAATACAGTACTTTATATTAATCAACCAGCTCTTGAACAACAACAAAAAAGAACTTTTGGCAACCTACAGAAGGTTTACAAAATGAAACATTACAATGTTACAATGTTCTTTTGGTAATATTTCAGTAGTTTTGTTTTTCGGTTCATTGGTGCAGCCTTAGCTCATGTGTTAGCCTTTAAAAAAGGGGGAATTGATTATGCTTCACAAATAGATTATCAGTGTCCCCATTTCTAAAATAGAGGAAGATTCTCTACTGGTTATTAAAGACATTATAATCTTAGATTAAAGGAAAACAGGTAGAAATTATTGTTTGCACACCACCATTTGTTGCTTTATGCTTTGCAAAATAGCAAAAGTTATATGTAGCAAAAATTATTCACTCATTTCAGACACAAATTTCTGAAGCGATGTTAGCTTATTTGTGTCATAGTAAAACTAGACAAACAGATTTTAAAATTGTTATACATAAATAATTGGATGTTGAAGCTGTTTTGTTTTGCCACGCTAAGGGTTCAGTTGGACGAACTCGTAAACCTTCTTGTAGATATAGTAGGTGAAAGAGTCCTTTTCTTTTCCAGTGGAAAGAGAGGAAAGGCCCTCTCGTGGCCATAGAGTTAAACACCATGTCAATTAACATTGTATGCGTATGACCGTGCAGTATTGTTTAAATACTAACAGAAATGTTTCTCTTGAGACTCATAGGCCTCTAATAGTGGTAAGCTCAGGTTGCATAATATTTACCTGTATATGGTGCTTCTGAGATGCCTTTCACTTAACTACTCATCCTGCTTATGGTAATAGTAGTTCACAATTTAAGTAGCTCATACAAAGAACACAGCTACTTCAGTACATCAGTGCTATAAAGACATCACTCACTGTGCCTTATCCAGCACACAAAGAGGAGAGTGCCAGGGTCCCTGCCCTACATGCCTCCTTTCATTGCGTTTTTTGTTTTCCTGATGCAAAAGGCAATGAGCCTGAAGAGAAAAGGTTGCCACACAGAGGTCCTCCATGCCAGCAAGGACCCTAATTTCCCAATTCCTTCTCTCACTGAGAGCTTCCACATAAACAAGAACCTCTCCTTCTCTGTCCAAGTCACTTTTTACACAAGGAAAGCTATGACAGAGGGGCATGAGGCTAGGCACCTCTCTTTGAGTCTCGGATAAACTGTGGTGTGTAATGCCTGATCAGGGCTGTAGCAGACATTTTTTTTAAAAGGCACATTTTTTATTGTTGAACCTAAAACAATAACAGTTTTCTCTTCTCTTCACAGCCCAGCGACTTTTCAGTATCTCTAAAGGCATCAGGGAAGAACAAACATTTCAAGGTGCAGCTGGTGGACAATGTCTATTGCATTGGGCAGCGTCGGTTTAATACTATGGATGAGTTGGTGGAACACTACAAAAAGGCTCCTATCTTCACCAGTGAACATGGGGAAAAGTTATACCTAATCAAAGCACTTCAGTGACATTGAAGATGGACTAGGCCTGCAGGGGCCTCTTATAACTTACAAGCCTTAGGTCCGAAATTCAGTTTTATAGAGCAGAGCAGCTGACACCAGTCTGGGATAGTCGTCAGAGAGCGGCTTCTTTCTTAAAGAATTTGCTCTGTTGATTATATTCTTTTTCTCTTTGCCCCTTGCTTTTTTGTTTGCTTCAGTTGTCTTTTTAAAAAACTGAGTTGTTTCACCTCCCCTCAGGTTGAATATTTCACTTATGTGGCCATTGCAAGCACTCTTTTTTTTCTTCTTCTTCTCCCGGGTTCTGAACTCCTCTCTTCTGTGTACGTTTACATAGTTAGTTCACATAAACGAGGGGTGTCTTCAATTTAAAACAGTGTTAAATTGTTCCAAAAGCTCACGCTAGCAGAACGCTAGCAGAACTCATCATTAAGAGACTGGGCACAGTTTGAATGCACTGAACCTGCAGCTAACTAAATGAAATATAGTAGACATAACCGTTGTGGCTGTGAGTTCTGTAGCTATTTTGCTTACCAAGTAGTTTATTCCAGAAATTCCTAGTTTCTAGAAGCACTCTTTACACTCTCTACTCAACTATTACATTGCCTCTTTGACTCTTTGTGAAGAGTACACTAACTAAATTTTTTTTGTAATAGTAATTCTTAAACTGCTACGGTAAGATTGTAGTAAAAGAATCTATCTAGCGTACTTTGACATGTAATTGCAACAGAGATGTTTCATTGAAAGTTGATTACTTAGAGAATCATTGAATTGTAATGGTTGAATGTTTTGGTAATCTACAACCAAATGTGCCATCCACATAATGCTTTCTCTTCTTGCCCTTCTGCTTGTTTGAATTAAACAATTATGTATTTAATTCTTAAAGTAATATGTATCTGTAGCTGATTGACACTAATACAGAAGTTTAATAGACATAACTAATGATGGGTGGGTGGGGCTTCCAACACATACATGCATACATACATATGATATATATCTATATATATTTGCATTATGGAAAACAAATCAGGGTTTAGAAATGGTGGTGCGATTGCTAGTAAGACACACAGAATGTTATATGAAGAAACTGCATTTTCTTTTTTCTTTTCTTTTAACTTCTTATGGTTTTAAATATAGTCTTGATGGCACATTCCTGAAATTTGGTAGGGAAAAAAAAAGGACCTTGAGATCCCAGAAACATGCATACCCAGGTTTTTTGTTTTGTTTTGTTTTGGATATTGTAATAAAAAAAGGTATCATGTGAAGATGGAGTACTGAATTCATCCTTTGGTACAGCATGTTAAAGTGGGTTTTTTTTTAAAAAAATCATATGTTCTCTGTGTAGCTTGAACAATTTGTGCAAAAGAAATTGCTGATCTTATTTTAAAAAGAAACTTTATGATCAGGTAGAATTTTGAATATATGGCCAATTGCTTTGTTTTGTCAGTTTGAAACCCATTGTGATACAAATTTTAGTGGAGACTACATCATATCAAGGTTTGCTGTTTTTTTAAGTCATGTCAATATAGCGGCAAGACAACAAGTAAGGCATCTTCTTGAGAAAATCAAATAGCCTCATGGATTACCTTTAACAGGCTTACGTGGCTTCAAAAGGCAATTAGAAAAAATGTTCAGAAGGTGAGTATGGCTGTTATCCCTAATGATTGTATGGAACATTCATGTTGAAGTCAGTATGTGATGAATATATGTTCAGTACTAGTTGGTGCCATGAAGGTGGAGAATGAACCACCAGAGGGATGTTGTTGTCTTCCTTGTGAGCTTCTTGGAGAAATTAGATTGGCTGCTGTGGCAAAGAGGACGATGGCAGAGTGGACGGATCTTTGGAACACACCAACAAGGCTCCTGCTACATCCTTAGAACTCTTCCTGTGCTGCAGCTCAGATGAGAAGAGAATTCATTTTTTGTGCTATTACTCTCATAATGCATGGCTATCAAAAACACACAATCACCTTTGGTACTGGCATATGTGCATTTAATATATCTAGGCCACAATAATTTATTCCAAGTCCCCTGCACTGAAATTTAACAAAACTCCTTGGTTGTCACAGGATTGAAGCTTCCAGCTTTAGGGTTCTGTTGCGTTCAACTGACTTCGGTGTGAGTATGGCGTCTCTTGCACTCGTGTACCACTGCTGTAAATATGTTCAGTTGCCAACAGTCAGGGACAAAAGCATTTTGAAGCCAAGTCAAGAATTTGTCCCTTTATTCTAGTATCCTGTCTAACAGACACTGGCAGCAGATACTTGAGAATCAGTTGGCAAGGCATTTGTTTATCCACAGGCATGTTTCTTTTCAGCCTCCACCACTTAATGATTGGCTTAAATATTATGTACATATAAACACTTCCATTTGAAATGGGTTTGGCCTATACAGTGTGGATGATTTCATCCATGAATATGTATTGTGTTTTGAACCAAGTTATAGACCTAACATGGTGGCAGAAATGATGGCTGGAAATAATTTGGTGCATTTAAAAAAAGGATTTGCTGTTTTAAATTGTTGGTTTTAAGCATATATCCATTTGTTGTATTTTTCTGGCAGATAAATGGGTGTATGGGACATGGTTCTTTTTAAATTATTATTTTAAAGTACTCTTTTTAAGTTGGTCTAAATGTGAATTCTAGCTGAGAACGTTAACAAATGAACTGGGGTGAAATCTGAATCATTTTACCGTTCATATTCTGAGAAAATTAATTTCAGTTGTGTCTATTCAGTTCTTGATTATTGTACTTAATACTTTAATCAGTTTTTTTAGGAGTTTTGAATGCCAATCTCTGTTAAGTCACTTGGGCCAAAATAGTTAGAGTAGAGACATAAAGGAGCCACTCTCTCCATGTTGCATTCCATTCTGTGCAACAAAAATCTTTACCATTGTTGCTAAAATATTGCTTGATTTCTTGATAATGAATCTTAGCCTTTTTTTACCAATTGGCAGCTTAATTTATCACATCTCAAATGTAATATGAATCGTTAAGATAAATACTTCCAGTAGTTAACAGCCTCACTTTGTTAACACTGGAAACATGAAGAGTCTCGCACACTCTTGATTCTGGGAATATTCCTTGCTACTTTTTCTGGGTTTCAACTGAAAAATATGCCCTTTTGTGGGTTTATAAGTATGTTTCTAACGGAATTGTTGTTAAATATTAAAAAAATAGGTAATTTGGAAGGATTTTATTAAAGCAACATTTTAGCAAAGAGGTACTGTACTAAGATTCCATGATAGTGAATTAGGCCCAGCTCAAAGGTTCAACGATTGAAGTGACAAGGTCCACTTAGGTCGCAGTACTGCCATTGTTGCCAGATGTTGAATTTGGTATACTGAAAGTTCTGTGTGTTTTCATTGTAATTCTAGGTTTTTGTGTGAAATATTCTTTTCATATAGTGTATTATCAAACACTATACTCCTAAAAATGGAGGTGGCAAGTCTTGATGAGGACCATACTATGTTTGCTAAACTCTGAATCTGCTCTATTGAATTCAATTTTCCTTTGCATGTTTGCTTAGTGTTTTTCAGCTCATCCATAGTAAGAGAGACCCTGGTTACCTCTGGCCTGGCTTCAGGGCTGGATTAAGACCCTTAGAGACCCTAAACACTTAAAAGATTTTGGTGCCCCCCATATACTGTATAAGTAATTCAAAATATAAACAATAATAAACCACAAAATAATTTTTTATTTATTGAAATTAAATAAAACTTACAGTAAGATGGAAAATAATGTTTGTTTATTATTTATATTTGAATGTTTTTCTCCTACTTTTTTTAACTGCAAAGTCTTTGATCAGATCCTCAAAACTGATCTTATGTAACACATCTGCTTCTGTACTTAATAGAAATAAGGCATCCAGCCTGCCTTGTTGCATAGTTGTTCTGATGAGAAAATGAATGCTCAACTGAGCAATTTGTGACCATTAATGTTAAAAACATACAAAAGTCTAGATTTGGAAAGGCACACTCAATATTGTCTTCTACAATTATTTTATAAAGTTCAGCAGAACTGAATCTTGTTTTTACATTTTTTTGTTGCACTGAACTTATGGCACACATATGAATGAAACTGCTGAAGCTCAGCTGAGAAATTACTGTTGAAGTTCTTTGGGTAAGCATCAATCAGCTTTTGACAGCACTGAGAATATCTTTCAATGTTAGTAGGTGATGAAGTAACATCATGTGGCACATCACTTAGAAAAGAAAATCTCTGCTATTTCTTTATATATCTTTTTCATCTCAGTTTCAAGTTTGTCAACAATTGTTTAAAAGGTGGTGATACAGAATTTATCTCTGGCATTTAGATATACTTCTGGTGCATCTCCATCATTCGGTACCTTCTTTCTGATATGTTTGTGAGTTGTAGCTACCTTGTAATCAACATCTGGTAGCATTTCCTTTGCAGCTACTTCATATCTTTCAGATTCATCTCGTGAAGTGCACAGTTCGTCAGCTAATGATACATACAGATCTGCACATGTTTCCAAGTTCACATCCTCATTTTGTAGAGCTTGGCTTACTCTGTGAAAATTCTGCAAAATCTCATTCCAAAAATTCAACATAAAAACAAATTCTAGCTCTTGAATCTTATCTGCAATATTATTTGCATCTCCCTTTTGTGACTGGTCCTCGGCTATATACTGTATTCTAATGCTTCTAAAATTTTAAGGACAGATTTCAAAATTGCTGCTGTTGCCATAGCATGTGCCTCCCATCTGGTATCAGAGAGGGATTTTAAAACATTTTCATTTCCAATACAACCTTTAAGAATTTTCTACTGGCTGCTTGACGCTGGAAAAAAAAGGTACAGAGTAACTGCACTGTAGAGAAAAAATTAACTGCCTCTTGACAGCAATTAACAGCACTTTGGCCTAACAGATTTAGGGAATGAGCTGCACAGGGCAGATACGGTATATAGCAAACTTGTTTGTTTCTAAAAATTTTTGCTGCATCCCCTTATAACGCACAGACGTATATAGCAGTGTTGTCATAAGACTAACCCCTACATCTTGAAAAGTTTAGCCTATAAACTTCATGTAAGTACTGTAATACCTGATTTGCCATTTCCTCACCAGTATGGCCTTTCATTTCCAGAAAGGTTAAAAAACATACCTGATTTGCCATTTCCTCACCAGTATAGCCTTTCATTTCCAGAAAGGTTAAAAAAACCTTCAGTAGGCTGTCGATCTTTTAAGTATCTAAGTACAACACTTAACTAATTGATATGTGATCTGGTGTTGAATCGACTGACAAACTAAAATAACAAGAAGATTTTACTTCATCAATAATGAGCGCATGGACCTTTTGTTCCATTAGTTGAATGAGTTCCTCACAGGTGGTTTTGGACAGGTAAGAAGGATTTCCTCTGCCTGAATTTCCATATTTTGAAATGTAGCGTGCTAAAAATGGATCAAGCTGGCTTATGAGTTCAAGTAGCCCTAAAAAAATTCCCATTTTGCAATGATTCAAACCTTTCTTCTGTTCCTCAAAAAGCCAAGCCATGTTCAGCTAATGTACAAATAACAACTATGACACGCCACAAGACATGTTCCCAATAATCACACTCTTCCTGAATTTATTTTTCCAACTGTTGCCCCAAACCCATACCTTGTCTGCGAGCTAAGTATGCATAGAGTTGTGGTGGGTTTTTCGGGCTCTTTGGCTGTGTTCTGAAGGTTGTTCTTCCTAACATTTCGCCAGTCTCTGTGGCCGGCATCTTCAGAGGACAGCAGAGGCCGGCCACAGAAGATGCTGGCCACAGAGACTGGCGAAACGTTAGGAAGAACAACATTCAGAACACGGCCAAAGAGCCTGAAAAACCCACAACAACCATTAGATCCTGGCCATGAAATCCTTCGCAAATACATATGCATAGAGTCTCCGTGAGTAGCGCTTTTTTCATGATTATCAATTATAATAGTATTTTGAACCCTTCTCTTGAAATAAAATTCAAGAAATTTTAAGGAGGAAACAGTTTGCAAACGAAACAATAAACCAATCCTGTTTATTGTAACCCCTCTCTTTTGTATTTCTCACCATTGGTTTTTGTCCCAATAAAAAGTTTCTGCGAACAATACCTTACTGGTTTGCCACTACTGAAATGCCAGTAAGACTTGTCAAATGGCCCATTGTGATGTTGACAGTCACTGGGTCCAAAAG